ATCCTAACCTCAAAAAAATCACCCGTTACTTGCATATCCCCACCTTGGAGCGTACGCTCGAGCGTTATNTGCCACGCTTCAGCTAACAACACGCATGGCATACATACATACATACATAATGCATAAACGTATACTTTCGAGTTTCAGCATTCATACTCGTAGTATGTACTTGCATAGCCCCACCTTGGAGCGTACGCTCGAGCGTTAANCGCATGGCATACATACATACATACATAATGCATAAACGTATACTTTCGAGCTTTAGCATTCATACTNTGGAGCGTACGCTCGAGCGTTATTTTTAGAAAATTATGTATTTTCTGTGTATTTCAAAAGCAATCATAAAAAAGAACTAAATCATTTTGAAAAATTTCAATTCCACTATTGCTGCTAGCAGCTAAAAATATCATGCCGACAATAGCACAAAATACATAAATTCCTAAGCGTTTAGATTGAGGGGGAAAATGTAAATATATATATATTTGTAACATGTTCTGCGCGCTGTTACAACCCTGCAGAAAAAACTATCAATTAAAAAAAAAAATTACCCCTCTTGTGGTTAGTTATTTTTTGCGGGATTTCTATAAAATATATAACTTGTAGTTAGCCGCATAAAGCTAACTTGAAACTAAATGACAAGACTCAATCGGGAGATANCAGAAAAAACTATCAATTAAAAAAAAAAATTACCCCTCTTGTGGTTAGTTTTTTTTGCGGGATTTCTATAAAATATATAACTTGTAGTCAGCCGCATAAAGCTAACTTGAAACTAAATGACAAGACTCAATCGGGAGATTTTTTTTTTCTTCAAATGCATTTCTATTTAAATATCCTGCACTTCGCAAATACTTTTTCGAATTGAGGACAAATAATAGGCAGATCGAAATTTCATATTATCATTTTGAGGTTATGTCTGGCGGAGTTCGAATATGGAACCACCTGCGGCAGAATGTGTAAACATATATGAAATGTAATAAACTACAGTAAATAAATAAATAAATAAGTAAATAAAAAAGTAAAAAAAAAATCAAAAATCTGTGGTTTTTCCTATTGATATTTTTTGTCCAAAAGTACCTAGTTATTTACATCAAATTCAGAGGTTACCACCCTTGACTATTTCGCCGCCACCGCCATACAAATGTAGTTCGCTTTCCTCAAAGGAAATATACAAAAAAAATTGTTCCTAAACAATTTCAAGTACAATTATAGTTAGGTACATTTCCTGTAGGGAAGCTCCTGGCCTTTTGTGCGAGGCGAGGTGGAAATGTGACACAACCTGAAGATGAGTTGCTTCAAAAGCTTTTTACATTTCATTTTTTCATAAATTAAAACATGAAATTATTGGTTGAGTCTAATTTTATGACTTTTCTTTTTATTATCGTTGTTTTTGCTGTTGTTGACGTGCTTCGGCTTGTTCTTTATTTCCATTGAGCATTTGTATCTGCATATGAAGGGCGTCCTCTGACTTGTCAGCGTATTTTTTTTGTTTTTTTTTTTTTTTTGTACAACAATCAAAGCTGAATATTTTTGGAAAGCCACGATTTATGTTAATTGAAAATGACTTTTCTTTAAGTTTTTCCGCCACTGGAGAAAATGAAATCTGTGTCACCAACAGCCGCTTTTGTGCGTAGGTGGACCCCGTGCTTATTTTAGTGTGGCTTCCAATTACATTGCCTTTCTAGAAAAACTTTTTCCGCGCTATTTTTAAGGCTTTGAACTTTAATTTAGTTCGGTGGGTGCTTAGCGAAGACATGCAGACACTTATATGACTTTTTAATATTCTCTTTATGCAAGTACGAAGTACTATGTGTAATATAAATTGTATATATGTGTAGTATGTAGTGTACATACTATATGGCTCATATAAAAGCGTTGCTTTAGGCTTCGTCTCATTTGCATGGCTAGAAACTGTTGAGGGATAGCGTAATTTAAATTTCTTTTTAGGTAATCACCTAGAGCCCTAAAGATTATTTACTAAGCTTTCAGCATACTTAAGTATCTAATCAACAAAGTAAAATAAATTTTCCATTAGCAATAAAATTTTCAGCAATAAATTATTTATAGAAAAGAAAACAATTGTTTTTTAAAATATGCTTGAGTCGGGTACCACATAAAATGAAATTCTGTATACAAAAACGAGCAATACCCAGTCCCGCCTTTTGGCGAGTTCAACGAAAAGTTTAATAACAACAAAGAAAAATTCATTGAAAACAAACAATTTTCGAAAATTTAAATAGCATGTGGCAGCTTATGAATGTTTGTCTCTCGCGCATTACTTCAACTCCTTTCGCTTTGCAGAAAATTTATGTGCCAGATTCGGTAACCAATCCGTGTGGAGCCTTGGCTCACAGCAGAAAGAGAGTAACTCTTCGATGGGGTCACTCCGACATATTCTCCTACTCTAATCCTGCATGACGATTATTCAAAAAGTTTAAAATAAATTCAGTCATAAAAAAATTAGTTATCGAAAGTTATCAAGTTAGCGAAATTTATCGGGTCAACGAAGTTTATAGCTATCGAAATTTATCGAGTTATGCATGTTTTGAGATATCGTAACGTATCTATTTATTCAAATTGATCAATGTTTATTAAGTTGTCGAAATTTTTAAACACAGAAAATTAGTTGTGTAAATTTAAGCGAAAAATATTTATGAGACTCACAAAATTTGTCAAGTTAATAAAATTTATCAAGTTATCGATATGTATAGAATTCTCGTTATTTATATAGTTAATGAAATGAATAGAGTTATCGTAATGCTTCGAGTTCTTTCAACTGAATTTTATCCAATTATCAGAGTGTAACGAATTATCGAAATTTGTCGATAGCTTTCGAGAAATATGGAGCTAACAAAATTAAACGACTTATCGGAGTTTATACAGGTGCCCAAAGTTTATCGAGCTATAGATTTATATCGTGACAAATTTTTATTTTTGGGTTATCGAAATTTATCGAGCCTTCTAAGCGCACAGTTATCGAAATTAGTAGTCATCGAATTTTTCTGAATTATCTGATTTCAGTGTTTTTGAGATTCATGGCATTATTGAGTCATATAAAATTATCGAAATTTATCGACATACTGGAATGTATCGGATCAACTCCAGTTTCTCCGAAAGACCTGCGAAGATATTAAAAATTTGAGTTACTTTTTAGTTCCAAAGCAGCTATAAGTTAAACCACGTGGTAAGTTACAAAACCTCTCAACGGATCTTAAAAACTAGAAAAACTGTCAAATATCGACATTAAGTGGCATTCTTAGCATAAATTTTACTTTTGAAACTTATACAGAATTAAAAAAATTCAAGAAATTTTCATTAAAATTATGAGCTTTTTAGTAAGAATTTTTACAAAATTTTTGGGTATGCAGTTACAAGGCTTATGACATTTTAATAAAATAAGTGCAAGTTTTTAGTGGCTAAAAATTGCCTTGATTTTTTTTTTACCGCGATAACACTTTTTCCATATAAAAATGAATTCCTTGCAGAAGAAAATGCGCACGAACGTTTGCGAAAAGAATTTAAAAAAATCAAGGCCAGTTTTTATAAATTGCACTTGTAATATGAAAAAAACTACAAAAAAATAAATTTAGCTTGAAAAACATTGTAAACATTAAAAAAAAGCATTTATTCAGCCATTTAGACCGCCAGGCAGATGAAGCAGAAAGCTCCGCATAACTTTGGAGCACAAATAAGTAAAAAATTCTAAGAATTCAAGAATTTTAAGAAATTCCAAGTTTCATAAAGGTTAAGTTCGTCTTTATTGTTGAATCTATTGGCAAGGACCAAGATGGAAAATTTGCCTATTGATACAATTGAACGTTGAAAATTGGTGCTAAGGCAAGGATTCAACATCTGGAAACGCTAGGCACTTAAGCCTAATTGAAATTGAATTTTTCCTGCTTCAAAAGTATGCTCAATATTTATAAGTGAGCATACATAGTAGTTTACAGAAAATTCCGAAAATTGCCAGATGCGGGTGATTTTGCCACCTCAACCACCGACATCAGAAGCAAACTATGCCGTAGTCTGTGGTGATAGCCACATGTGCCCCTGCTAGTAGGCTCCAACACTCGTAAATACAAAAAATTGCAAAGCTATAAAAATCCATTCACTAAAAGAAATTTCTGCTAAGTAGCAAGCGAATTGTTCGAAGCAAAAAATAAAAAACAGCAAGACAACAAAATCGAAATAAAAGGCAAAGAAATAAAGACTTGTATGGTCGGCTGACTATGCAGTGGCGCATGGCGACGACGACAACAGGCGCGTATTGCAGCCAGAATAGGTGGTTGGGAGGTATGTATGTACATGAAAAAGGAAAGAAAAATAGGCAGCAGTACATAATTGCATTCACTCAAGCGTGCTTCAAAAAGCAGATACGCTCGGCACAGAAGAGGGTAGTAAGAAATCAATGAAACAGAACGGAAGTTGTAGGAAAATATATACAAACAATCAATAGCGCAAAATTATTGCCCTTCAACAACAGCAACAGCAGCAGCAGCAGCAGCAGCAGTGGCAAGCAAGTGAAGTGAGAGGGAGCCTGCTTCTGTAAACGATAAAGATTTAGTCTTTGCGGTGGCGCAAGCAAGGGAATTGAGCGAATGGGCGTGGGCCTAAGCGGGGGGAGGGGGCGCAAAAAAACAGGCAAGAAACCGTGAAAAGAAAAGGGAAGTTCAAATAGGAAATAGTTTCTGCAGTTCGTTAAGGAAACGGAATAAATGTTAGTAATAAGTAGCGATGAGAATATTTATTGTTGCTTTGTAGTTGTTGGACGGGTAATCTCCCATACAGACATTCACACAGTAGCAGTTAAAGGCTTGCAATGGTTCTTGTTGCAAGCGAGTACAGATTTATACATGTAATTATTTTATGCTTATCCTTTAGTAGAGATTGCACATCTATATATATTCATATACATACATATATGTATGTACAATTTTCATATACATATTCATTGAGATATTTTATTCTGATTATTTTCTTACCTCTCTTCATTCTCTTTGCAGTACCCGCCAGAGTAGTTTGGGCTGCGGTTGGCAAAAGCGTAGATTTGCTGTGCGATTTAACGCCTCCAACGCCGCAGGACTCCGTGAAGCTGCTGTTGTGGTTCAAGGACTCCACCGGAATACCACTATACAGGTAGTTGAAACCACTTAATCATTGGCTAACTGTGTACAAGTGCTCTAAGTTATTTATAAGCTCAGTTATTTCATACGTGTGAAATGGAGAGGGAGGGGAGGGGGGCGGGGTTAAAAGTCTGCATTGAAAGTTATAAATTTTAAAAGGAAATTGAAAACTCATCACTGCGGCCAGCACCACCTACAAACCGAGGACTTTGTTGCTCGACCTGCATGCCAATTGAGCACGAATAGCAGCCAACAAGCTAAGGTACCTTTTTGCGGTGGTGAGCACATTTAGCTGTGCTGCTGTGTGCACATTTCGGTTGCCAAGGCGTGTGTATACGTTGTTATTGTACAGCCGTCCGATTCGCTCGATTGTTGGTAAGCTGTCGCTGTTGCTGTCGCTGTTGCTGTTGCTGCCACTGCCGCTAAGTTAACTTTTCGTTTCCCTTTCCTTGTTAGCTCGTTACGCTCACGTTTGGCGACAGTTGAACAAACGTTCAAACAGACGTGACAACAAAAAGGACGATTATTCATACATTCATACATATGTACGTTTCTATGTATGTATGTATGTATGTATGTATATGTGTGTGTACTCATCAGTGTCGCTACGTTCAGTAGACCGCAAACACTTAGGTGGCGATATTCACACAATTTTGGAGACCCGATTTGGTGTTTTTGGCACGGTTAAGATGAAAATTCATATCTGAGGTTTCATCTGTCAAATGTCGGGTTTTCTCTTATCCTTCTGCTGAAAAAGGAAATGCTTTTCTCCGGTTTGATGTTTGCTGTTTCCGCAGCAGCGTTGCTAGCCGCTTTCAGGAGTACAAAAAAATATGCAGCTACTACCAACGTTGCCGTTTTGGTAATATTTTACCAAAATTTACATGTAGTTCTATAGTTTCTGTTTCGAATTCGGTAACTTGGTAATATATTCTTTTGTTTGAGAATCAACGGACTCGATCCCTTCCATAAAAATCGATAATAAATACCAAATCCAAATGACACTTAAAGAAAATCCATTTGTCTTAAAGGGTTGATCTTTTTAGACAAATTTTGACAACTTTTTAGGATTTATTGGTCGTTACCTCGGGCATAACTGAAAAACTAAAAAGGTATATCCAAAAGGTAGGCCTAATTAAAAAGCTCAAAGCTTATCAAATGACATGATTTTGGTGGGGAAATGACTTAGGCTCGTCGAGAAATTATGCGCTCGGAAATATTCTCTTGTTGAATAACTGAGTGTTAGCGGGGACCAGTATATTTGCAAGTATATATTTGTATAAACAAAATATTTATTCGAACAACTCTAAATGCAAACTACACTTAAATGTACCTTGAGGCAGTTCCAATTCCTGAGAATGACGAGAAGTGGCCAAATTGAGTTTTTCGCCAGACTAAAGTAAAAGAAAATCATACAAGCTCTTCATATTAGCAAGTTTGGGCTATTTTTATTTATTTGTTGTTATTTTTATTCATCAAAATTTGAAACCTTTCAATGGAGCAAATAAGCAAAACCAAAAAAAAAATACAAAAATCAATAGTAAGTCTGAAATCGTGTTCACATTATTGTAATTTGCGGCTCATTCGTTGTTGGTAAGCAAATGATGAAAAATCTGTCAGTAAATTAAATATCACAAATCAAGAAGCAAATGAAGAAAAAACCGACTTGTCATTTATTTTAGCTGCCAACATTTATTTTTAGTCAGCTTCGCTTAAATATTTGTATATTTTTATTAGAAAAGCTTCTATTGAAAGTGAAGGGTTAAAATATTGTTTGGGAACCCAATGGAATGTTGTTTTAAAGGGAAAAGAGCCTATGTATAGAAATCATGAAAATAAGTCTGAACGCTATTGATTTATTTTAAGTAATTTCATAGAACCCAGTATCTAGTAATTTACGTTGTAATACGAACATAGTTTTAGCTANTATTTTAAGTAATTTCATAGAACCCAGTATCTAGTAATTTACGTTGTAATGTGAACATAGTTTTAGCTGCTTTAAATTTGCACTGTGTTATATCTACTAATATTGAACGGGCTATAAAAAATTTATCTCTCACTCTGAATGATTTTCAGAAATTTAATTAAAGAGCTCAAGATTTTAATTAAACCTTTTTTTGCAAACTTTTGGAGAATTTTTGTAAGAAAATCCAAAAACATTGTGGCAACACTTCGTACTAATTCAAAATATCCTTAAGCATAAAACCGATTGGTAACAACTCTTTAAATTAGGAAAAAAATAGCGGAAATTTGCATCTCATTATTTTTGTTTTCTATTGCAGCTTGGATTCACGCAACGGAAATATAAAATTAGCACCACATTCGGCCATAGCTAGCGATCTGGGTCAGCGTCTGTTCTTCTCCATAGGCGATAATCCGAAGGACTCACGCTTACAAATACGCGATGTGAAGCCAACAGATGGCGGCATTTATCGCTGTAGAATAGACTTTTTCAATTCGCCAACACGAAACTTTAGAATTAATTTAACTTTAGTAGGTGAGTATATGCATAGGAGCATATAAAAAATATGTATGTATGTACTATAGGTATATATATATAAATAGTATGTACGACTATTTACACATAGCAGGCATTTCATTGGCAATTGCCTTTTTCAACATTCATTTATTTTACTCCTTTCTCCATCATTCTTCTCTACATTTCTTCTCTTTTGTTTCCTAATTCGTACGTTGACAGTTCCCCCAGAGGAGCCACGCATTTTCGATGCACAAGGCAAGGAGATCGCTCAGATGGCCGGTCCATTTCGTGAGGGCTATGAGCTTTTTTTATGCTGTCAAGTCAAAGGAGGTAAGTGATTTGTAAATGTCAGTGCTTTTTTCAATCAACGCGTTGATTTTGTATACGTACATATGTATATGCATATGTGTGTGCATACATTTTTATAAATACACAAATGTGTATGTAGATATGTGTCGGTATGTGTAAGGTATTAGATTATTGCTTTTTGTACGAATAAAAACATTGTTTATACTTTCGCTATACTTGCTGAGTGAACTAAGTTATATAGCGTCGATGAATATGTGCAAAGAGATTTAAAGATTTAACACTCGCAATCAAAACTGCATGTTCCTGGTGCTTTTTGTTTCAAATTTCAAGTAGATTAAGTGCACATTTAACACAACAGACGTTCATGTGTAAAAAATTTACCTTATTGAGCGAAGGCAGCAATGTCCTGCGAAATACCCTGCGAGACTTTTTTGGATCGAATATACACCGCTTAGCTTGCCTCTGCCATGAACATTCAATCCAATGTTTATTGAGTTATTTTATGTTCCCAGTTCTCCGGGCCATAGAATATTTTAAAGTTTCTTATTTTTTTCAGATTTACAGTTTTGATGTCTTCAAACTAAAAACAAAAGCACCAAAAAACGCACCAAGCACAAAACTCAAAAATTTTCGCATTATGAATTAAGAAAATCACTAAATTTAGTGCAAAAAGCAGTAAGTTGGCAACAATGCTGCCCAATAAGATCGGAATAGGATTTCCCTTTATTACAGAGAGCTTTATTTGCAATGAAGAACTTCATTGCTTCTCTTTTGCCAATGAACACTATTCTGTGTAATTTTCTTAGTTTTACTACAGTTTTCTATACAGCATCCACATGTAATTTACTGAAAAAAAAATATTTAAACTATCCCGGATAAGTTCCGTCATAGGTAACTTTTCTCCCCAAGTAAATGGTACAATAATGATTTTAGTTTGATTAATTTATAGTAATTTGGTTTCGCCCCCGGTCTGTGTGATATGCAGGACTTTTTGCTTGTGGTTAGAGGTTCGTCAAGCAACCCAGCTGTGCAAATCGCCTAATCGTCCGCATAGCCTTACGTATCAAAGCCTTGGGTACTCAATATTAAAAGAAGTGTTGCCAAAAACCACTGAGATATATACAAAAAACATAAATGGCTATGTTTTTAGAATCCAAAGCCTTTTTAATTGTTTTTAATTAAGTGAGGCAGTCGTAGTAGAATTTCCTGCTTAGAGAGCAAATTCGTTCGTACTCAGGAATAAATTTCTTTCGCGTTTATCCAAATTTTTTCCATGCCCTAATTATACGAGAAATGAAATGAGGATAACCTGTAGGTAAGACCAACGTAGTTGTAGAGATTCTCCTGCCTTCGGGTAGAATACAACCTTAGCCTCGGTCCCTTTGCTGGGAATCTGACCCAGTGATAGCGAGGATATACGGAGTTTTTCTGAAGGAAATAAATGTAGATTTTATCAGGTCATGGCATTTTTAGCACATTGTACTAACTTTTCTGCAGTACTCGTAGTAGTTCGTTACCTCAGGTAAGTGTTTGGGGATACAATTCTGGTCGATAATAGCCTACTAAACAAGCCGTGAAAGATATGTCATGCATTAGGCTGCAAGTTTCTTATGGTTTCTTAGTGTAGGTCCAACTACGAAACTAGCAGAGGTGTTTTTCAAATACAAAAGGTTGCATGCAGATTTAATCTGTGAACATGAATCTGATATATGTGTCGCCCTATTCCAGTAAAAAACCTCGCATTTTTTTCCAAAGTGGCACCAAGAAAGNTCTTAGTTTTACTACAGTTTTCTATACAGCATCCACATGTAATTTACTGAAAAAAAAATATTTAAACTATCCCNTCATATATGTACAAGCGGAATAAGCAATTCCTAGCAAACGCTTACAATTTTCGGTACTGATGATGAGTTCTGACATAACTCAGTAAGGGTTCTATCCAAATAAAATTAAAAAAAATTCCAATTCAATGCGCATTATAAAGTTGAAAAGTGCTTTCTTGAAATTTCTGCCGGCATCATTTTCACAATGTCCAATGTAGAAACTTAAATCTGGATTTCAGTAAGACTGTAAATATGAAAGTTGAAACTTAGTTAATATCCAAGAGCGAATTTAAATCATATCTACCTTTACAGTACTTCATTAGTTGTTATCGATAATTTAATCAAAAGTATGAGCGCAAATTCTGAATTTTTATAGATAAGTATGTTTAGGAAAATGTATAAAATAAATTTAAAGTACCTGCGTACTTAAAGGTACTTTGCTGTCACAAAATACTACTTTCATTTGGTACGTGTCCATGAGAAAGTGCTACAAAACGCAAACTTTGTAACTGCTTTTTTACCATAAGTGCAAAAAAACTAAAATACAAATTATTATACTTACGTTTTTAGATACCTACGACTCCTAACAACACGAAACCCTTAGTCAATGCCATTTTGCAGTTATGTTTCTCCAGTATATGAATACGCTTAGTTGATNTTACTACAGTTTTCTATACAGCATCCACATGTAATTTACTGAAAAAAAAAAATATTTAAACTATCCTGGATAAGTTCCGTCATAGGTAACTTTTCTCCCCAAGTAAATGGTACAATAATGATTTTAGTTTGATTAATTTATAGTAATTTGGTTTCGCCCCCGGTCTGTGTGATATGCAGGACTTTTTNCACATTCCTAAATATATACATATACATACATACATATGCATGTGCACATACTTACTTCAAAGCGATATACGAGCATTTTCCGATCAACATAACTTACATAGCTTTTGTGCGAAGTTGGCTAGTAGCTGACAGTATTGGCTTAGGGCCAAACATGACCACGACAACAACAACAACAAATTTTTCTGCACCACTCCATTCTTGTCATCTAATTTATGTTGACATTTTTTCAATCGAGCATACATGTTTTTGCCCCAATGCGCAAGTTAAAATGCTCTATATCACATGTACAAACATACATACATACATACGTACATACTATGTTCGTTAGTAGTTATGTATGTAAACATTTTGTGTGAAAATACTTGTCGTTTTCGGTTAGCCTTAAACACGTTTTTTTCGTATTGTAGCGCCATACATATTTAGAAGCAGATGAATATTTTCGAGACATCAGCTGTTTGTTTATTTCACACGCGCTTGTTTTCATCTATTATTTAAGTGAAATTTCAGCATGTACATATGTATGAGTGTGTGCGCAAAAAACCAATTCCCTGCACTAGAACACCACAAGAAGATATTCGTTAAAAGATACAGATATGTAGAAAGAAACAAGTAAACAGCAATATTGTTGCGTATACGCCGTGGTGTCGTTTTCTCATTTGGCATTCTTCATACTCATACCTACATATATGCATACAAACATATGGTTGTGTACGTATGAATATATCACAAGTATTCTGTGCTGGTATTTCCTCTTTATACATATCTGATGGCTTATCTCAGCTACGCTTGCTCTATTTCTTTGAAATGATTAGTTTTTGTTGAGGTTGTTTTTGAAAGAGTAAATTCGAACAAAGTTGTTCCTGGTAACCACATGTGCATGTGTTCGTTAGCACATCAGCATTCGCGTGAAGTGTACAGCATAAAATTTAATTTCAGCGCTTGTCATATGCTATCATATCTGTCAAAATACTGCAGCAGCGGTCTCAACTTCCTCCTTGAATGAGACTTTCTTGATTAGCTCTAAGTCAGTACAAATATCACATACATATTTCATATACTAAATATTTATATACACACACATACGTATGCATATAATTTCCATTCTACTAATAAAACTCATTCAAATAATTCTCTTTGAGTTATTGATAATTTATTTTCATTTACCATCATCTAGGACGTCCGCCACCAAAAGTCACCTGGTGGCATGATGACATGGAGCTGATAGGCACCAGCCATACATCTGTGGAAGAGGGTACGACCATGATGGTGAATCAATTGTTGATCGGCACAACAACGCGTGATTATTTTGGTGCGAAAATTGAGTGTCGAGCGCAAGGCACGAAGCTTATAGCGCCAGTGGTGAAGAATGTGACAGTGCAAGTGCATTGTAAGTAAACTCTTTGAAGATTCTTTTTTCTAATACATATGTGTTTGTTTTAATTGCGCATACATATATCATACATATAATTCCTCTAACCAAATTCACTTTTGCTTTGCTACAGTGAAACCGGTGCGCGTGAAAATACTCACAGCTAATGATCTGCTGACAGCCGGTCAGCCTGTGCCTTTGCGCTGCGATTCGTGGGGTTCATATCCAGCGGCGAAGATTACATGGTTGTTGGACGGTGAGCCGATACGAAATGCCGAAGTGACTGTACACAGTGATAGAGAGGTATGTATGTTACATGTGTGTGTATAATTATGAATCTATACTATATGTAAAATATCTGTATGAATGTATTTATGCATAAACGACTGATTTATAGAGAGAAGCTCTGACTTTTCAAATTTAAGGGATTATTGCTATGAATACTACAAAAAGAAAAGGGCATGTTAGATGAAAAGTGAAACAACTGTCATTAAGATTGAGGTGATTGCACCCTATCATCCTCACGGCAGCTACAAGATTCCAAACCTTCCCGCATTAATGACAATTTCACAGTGAACTATCAGAACACTCACCAACAGTGAAAGCCAAGGCTTTACAAGCGTGAGGTGTTCCTTTGAAATGTAGTACATCCTTCCGAAAAAGAACCAAAGAACGTTTCAAATCCAAACGAGCCTGATAAGAAACTATTCTTGCGTAGTTGAAAAGGAGGTCCAACATTTTCGAATGGGCTCTTAAGTGTACGATCATAGCTGCACTATGGCTGAAATAAGCACTTTCTGCGTCCAAAAGTCCAATTTTCAATTTGTGCTTTGAAAATTTGCAACAGGCGGAATTTATTCTAATAAAAAAAGAAATTATAAATTTATGACCGCAAGGTAGTCTTGGTCCCCTATCTGTCAACCTTAACTTTGTGGTTTTGGTTTTGTTTGTATTAGATTTTTGTTATATCATAGAGCGTATGAATTACACTCAGCAATAGAGCCCATCTTTTAACAAAAGCTCTCCTGCAGGTAATAAACACCTTCTTAATGCCCTCTCCTCAATATTTAGCTTTTATGACAGCTTCCTACCCAAGATAATTCTGGAGTTTCCGGGAGGGATGCGGTATCCCATACTAATGGACGGCGAGGTTGCCCTTAACCACCCACCTACACTTAAAATTCAGGTAACCTTGAATCAGACCAAAAAGGATATACAGAAATTTTGCCCAAGCGATAAGAGCCGAGTCGGCTGCATCGTCCAACAATTGCTTTTCTCCAGTTTCTCTAGAAAGTTTTCCACGTTCCCGATTCAGCTTTAACATATAACGATAAAGAAATCTATTATAAATTTTCATATCCTGCTAATATTCTACCTCATTCTGAGTTTCGCCTGCACAAAAATTCACCGGAAATTTTTCCATCCACCCATAGTAACTAAATACATGGAAACGAAAAGTACAAAGTGAACCGATTCGGGGAAAATGAAACTCATGGTTGGTTAGGCTGATTATATGTAAATTTGGCAGCTGGTACGTTTGTCAGTTTGTGGGTGGTGTGTTTGGATATTTGTCGCTCATTCACGCGAAAATTACTAAACCGATTTGCATAAAATTTAGCACGCCGATGAGCTGGGTTGAAAATTGGTTGTTTAATTCAAACAGCTACCACCTGATAAAAAAGTGAAATGAAACTAATAAGTCCAATCAAATATAACAATGCCGATATCCAACGAAAAAAGGTTTAAGAGAGCATAGTTTCGAAAATATTTTGGAAGAGCTTTACTACTTGTTGAAAAATAAAATTTTGCGTGCATATAGCTTGTCAGCTGGATTGAAAAAATATTAAAGTTTTTAAAGAGTTGCCAACTGTCAAAAAATTAAGTTCATTTAAATTAAAGCTTAATTTTGAAAAAAATATTAATGGGGTTTCCGCCTGTTTGAAAATGCAATTTTGTACAACAATAGCTCCCGAGCTGGGTTTTAAAAATAACATACTTTTTTAAAGGAGTAGCAACCTGCCAAAAAATATGATATATGATATGATTGAAAAGAAGGAGTCACAATATATTAAATATAACTACACTCTTCATGCTGCTGATAGTTTATGAACAAGTAGTTTTTTTATTTTATCATAGAGTAATAAATGTTAGGCTTTAATTGGTCTCTTATCTATGCACTTGCAAGACTTTCAACTAATTACAGTGCAAATAGGTTTAAAAAAGTGAATTAAATCAAAAATAATTCCCAGAATAATGCATTATGGCCAACAAAGTAAGACAGTTTTATTTCCACAAGCCTCCATTCAAAAGTAATTTTAGAAAACAATTTTTTAACAAACCACCATTGCTTGTTAAGTTAATACACAAAAGCTCGAAAGCATTAAATAAAAGCCATTCGCTTTGTTATTTATTGTAACTACTACTTGAATTACAAAATTGTGTCGCAAAGATGCCAACCATTCGTGTCCACCACAAAATTCCCAAGTGTAAGAAACCGCAACCACAGCTCATTGCTATTACATCAAGTCCTTTTTGTCAATTGTCAACTGCTGAAATCAACTGAAATGAATTCGCCTGGAGAATTGAATGAGCAAAGCGGAGTGAGCAGAGCATTAGCAGAGCAAACGGCGAACTATTCGCTCCGAAGTGCCATGAAAAGAAAGGAAAAAAAATGAAATATACCAAATTATATTTACAATTTGGTATACGAACTGCACATAACTAAGCGCTTTCGCAGCAAACGCGCAGCGTAACAATAACCCAATTGCACTTGAAATGTAAGTGCCTGGAGATGAATGGAATGGAGCAGCGTTGTGCAAGCAGTGTGACTACACAAAGGCCAAGGCCATTAGAATTACGAACTTGATTTTTGGGCAAATTTCACTTAGAGCACTCAGAATATTTGAGAGCTCAACACAAAAGGCATAAACAAAAATATTCACACACACACACACATATACATACCTACACAAATTCGCATGCATACAATATATGCATGTAAATACATATAATGTGCGCCATCAATGACATTAAGTCATTACAAAAGATACTTGGAAAAAACCGAACTACCTACGATATATCCACTAACACTTATGCGCATGCACTTTACCAAAGTAAGGACAAATAAATTAGATTTGTGCAAAAGTAGCTTACAATCAAATTCGCAAACGCACCGGCATCAGCACACACACACACTTACATAGGCCTACGCAGGCACTACCATCTAATCGAGGTATTAGCGAAAGTTGGCGGCACACCAATCCAGTCAGCGCACAGCTACCGGCATTCAAAGCATTCACCAATATAAACGCTAACAACGCCACCAATTGTAATACGAAATTATCTACAGCTGGTAACAGCGCCGAGAGCAGCAGCGGTAGATTGCAAAGAATGCTCATGTTGCTTAACCTAATTATGTCATCTTGTCTGATCTCATCTTGTCAAGAGTAGGTACCTACTCCTTGACGATGACATACATGCGCATTCATGCTTTTTGCTTTCGTTGTTGTTGTTGTCACTATTATGTGTGTGTGTTTTTCGTGCAGTCAATTTGTTATTTGACTTTGTCAAAGGTATGTGCCTGTACATGAGCACATAACATAAGCTTCAAAAGTACCCACACTGTATGTACGTAAGTACATATGTACATACCTATGTAGAGGCTACAGTGCTTGGCTCCTCTGCTATTCGCGCAGTTGCTAAGCTTCCGTGTGTGGTGCAGCTATTTAAGTATGCAAATGCCAGTACTTAAAAGAATATAACCGTTGCTTGCCAAATCGTTGCACAGTGGAAGAACTTCTATCATATATAGGGTAAAAATTGCGGTTGCATAGATTTTGTGTTTGATTTGTCAAAAATTTTTCCTGAATAATTTTAATGTATTGCAACAAAACGCAAAATTTTTAGAACAAGGAAAATTCATATAAGGTGAAAGCGGCAGCACAAAAACAAAAAAATAACGCGCCAGTTTCAGTTTCGGTTGTGCAAAGTGTTACGGTTTCGATTTTGGTTTCCTTCTTCACAATTTTTTGCGTTTTCCATTTCGGTTTCGGTTTTAAAATAAAATGAGTAAAAAAGGTTTGACAAAAACACATTTGCAGGCACTTCACTGTGCGACAAAAACAAAAATAAAATCAAAACACACGAAACAATCAATATACTCACGAAATAATAGGCCAAATATAGTAAAGCTGGGTTTTCAGTTTTTCACACTAACGCCCGGATTTTTTAAAGGACTTTGAAATTTTAAAGATATGATTAATTCAAGAAATAATTTAAAAAATTCAGTGGAATGTACAATAACAATATGGCTACCAAAAAAAAGAGGAAATTCTGTATAATTGAAAAACATAAAAGTCTTTTGGTTGACAAGAACAAATAAGTATTGAAAATGTGCTTTTAATAAATTTTTTTTTAATTTTTTTTTATGTTAATAAAGTTAGGAGGACGAAATTCGAGGATGTGGTCCTTAATATATATTTTTTTCGAAAACCAATATTTTAAATTTTCAAGGCTATCCAAGGAAAATCATTCAGTATTTTCTTCGTCATATGCATAGAACCATGACTTGTCAGTTGTCTAATAGAAATTCATCGCACAAAATTTTCACAATTTAATTAAATTTTTTTCCAATATACATAAATGTTTCAAGTATCTGTAGTGTGTTAATTATCTGTTTTGAGTACGTTTACCATTAGAAATATGAAGCGTTACGATGGCAATAACAGATTTTAACTATTCAAATTATAGTTTTCATATTTCAACACTTAAGTAGCAAGTCTCGTATTAACCGCAAAACGCATAACCGGGTGCCCGTGTGTCCACTAGCAATTTTGAACTGCTGTGGCTAAAGTACCACTACATACTTATAGAGCATTAAGTCTTCGGATCCAAGAAGATTGGTTATTTCTGCGTTATTTGAGTGCTCATTTATGAAATTCGGTTTTGTGGTACCGCACCTATCAGCTTCTAAAGTTGGCACTTAGGCACACATAAACGGGGTACCCGTGGGTCTATGAAATTTAAATGAAAATGTTTTATTAAAATATACAAGAAAATGTATCCTCCTTCGACTTTCGTCTTCAAGCTCGACAAAATTTTCGTATAATTTTATGCCATTAGGCATATGGTAAGGCTCTGCTGTTCCAATATTGCATTTTTTATCGAAAGAACTAGAGGGTATTGAGATAGGCGCCGGCGCCTGATTTTCTTTCGAACCATCTGGCTTTTTCAAGTCTTACTGTTGCAATAACGGGTTCTTCTCTGAGAGGCGGATAAGTGCCTCAATACCAGTGCAGTGGAAACCACGGTCGTATGAAAAGGATACGAATTTTTATTTTTATTGTAGATGTAGTACAAATTTTAAATCTTAGGTGATCACCAAACCCCCTTCCCCCCCCATATCCCCAAAACCCAAACCAACGATCGAGGTCGTGCCGGAAGCAGATGAATGATGATGGGCGCTTTACTTTATTGCCTCACTGCAAACTTCAGCCTTATTATGATGTATTATGTATGAATTAAATTTTATTACTTCGTTTTTTTCAAGTCACGCTTCTTAAACAAGAGTTGCAACCATTACTCAAGCTACCTGATTTTAATTTGTTAAAATACCATGAATAGCCACTGTGCTGCGTATGTGAAAGCTATTACCATATCGCCACATCTCGAGGATGTCGCCATTATTCGCCACAAGGCATGTACTAAGAAACTTTTTATCTACATACATACGCATGTATGTATGTGTATGTACATTAGCGTGGTCCATAAATGAAGGTTAAAAAAATAAAACGTCAATATTTTAATGCTCTCACCCCCTAGGATTGTTCTTAATGGAGAAAATATGCCCTTTTTTATTTAGAAATTTAAAAATATTTAGGGGTCACGCAAAGCGCCCAATGTTTTCCATATAATTTATATAGAAAAAAATTTTTCATAGAAATGGTATAGAATTCATATTTTTCTATCGGAAAACTCTGTTTCTCTTCAGGAGACTTCCGAAAATAATACCGAATTGTTATTAAGTAATTTTTTAATACAAAAATTTGATATGGGCCCCGCATTGCATTTTTTTTGGGGGGGGGTTTTGGAGGGCCTAGAAATATAGTTTAATAATTACTGGAAATCTGCTGAAGAGAAATAAACTTTTCAGATCAAAAAATATTGATTTTCAAGAATTCTAAATTATTTCTCTGAAAAATTGTTATTAATATATAACAATATAAAATACACGCACCAGCCTCTAAATAATTTTTGATAAACAAAAAAAATNATACCAAGAATCTTTTTATCTACATACATACGCATGTATGTATGTGTATGTACATTAGCGTGGTTCATAAATGAAGGTTAAAAAAATAAAAAGTCAAAATTGTAATGCTCTCACCCCCTAGGATTGTTCTTAATGGAGAAAATATGCCCTTTTTTATTTCGAAATTTAAAAATACCATTCCATATATTTTATATAGAAAAAAACAATTTTTCATATAAATGGTATAAAATTCATATTTTTCTATCGGAAAACTCTTTTTCTCTTCAGGAGACTTCCGAAAATAATACCGAATTGTTATTAAGTAATTTTTTAATACTAAAAATTTGTTTATGGGTCCCGCACTGCATTTTTTTGGGGGGTTTTGGAGGGCCTAGAAATATAGTTTAATAATTACTAGAAATCTGCTGAAGAGAAATAAACTTTTCAGATCAAAAAACATTGATTTTCAAGAATTCTAAACTATTTCTCTGAAATTTTTTTTTTTTTTTTTTTNAATACCGAATTGTTATTAAGTAATTTTTTAATACAAAAATTTGATATGGGCCCCGCATTGCATTTTTTTTGGGGGGGGGTTTTGGAGGGCCTAGAAATATAGTTTAATAATTACTGGAAATCTGCTGAAGAGAAATAAACTTTTCAGATCAAAAAATATTGATTTTCAAGAATTCTAAATTATTTCTCTGAAAAATTGTTATTAATATATAACAATATAAAATACACGCACCAGCCTCTAAATAATTTTTGATAAACAAAAAAAATCGCGGATGTATTTTTTCGGTATAGAATAACCCCAATGGACAGCATTAAAATTCCAACTTTACTTTTTTTTGGACCCCCCTAAATTAAATACACCCATATTCATACCTACTCGTNAACGCGGATGTATTTTTTCGGTATAGAATAACCCCAATGGACAGCATTAATATTCCGACTTTACTTTTTTTTGGACCCCCCTAAATTAAATACACCCATATTCATACCTACTCGTTAAGATCATAAATAAGTACAAGCTTATTGTGCTTGGTACCACTCTTGCTGACATTGTTATACTATACGAGTACAATACATATCTACATATGTACATATGTATGTATATACATATATTGCGGCACTTGCGTTGATAACGAAACGGCATGCCGTTGTACGCTCTGATTTTGCTCATTGTTCCTGCTGCTCGTTGTTTCCTGCTGCTGCCAATAACGCCTTTTCCTGTATTGCCCACTCTTTGCGAATTGGCAATCGAATATCACATAGATAAGTACATAAATACGACGACGAGGACAGGAGTATTGTGCTCATTTTATCGCTTATATTACTGTCATGCTTGTCCTTTCCACTGTATTGGCTATTATGAGAACTAAATATCTCTGCTACCTATGCACACTATGCACACTACTCGCCAATGTCTCAGCAATTCTGACAGATTCTAAAAATTCATTTCACTATTTTCCATAAGCATTTTTCTATTCAATATGTATGTATGTAAATACACAAATATGTATATGTATGGTTTGTATGTATATTTAGCTGCATAAAACATCAAGATATACCCATAACCATGCTAATACATTTGCTTGTTTGCTTGTAATTCATTTTACAGGACTCGAATACCACAACCAGCATTCTCAATTTGAAGGTAACATCGGAGAACGATAATGCTGAACTGACGTGTCGTGCATCGAATCCTTGGTTCTCTGGTAGTGCCATTGAGGACAAGCGCATCATTCGAGTGGCATGTAAGTATAAACATGCATGTACATATATATATATA